AAAGGCAACAGATAAGAAATCTTTCTCCTGTGAAATTGGTCAAGAAGGATCAGAGGTTTCTCAAAGACTGCGAAATCTCCATTCTTGGGCTATTCAAACCCCATATTAACCTGGTCCCAGACAGTCTGTTGTAGATAATCTATGTGAAATAGGTGCATTGGATTATCTCCAGAGGTCTCTGCCAGCTCAGTCCTCTGCTGTTTGGAACAGGCTCTAACCATTCCCTCTGTAAGCATCTATGTGAGATTGAAACCTTGTAATTTTGCTACCGCTAAAAGAAAAGGTTTTTGTTCAGGTGTGAAAAAAAAAGGACTCTCAGAATGCTGTCTGTTTTTGTAGAAACTCATGATTAATTTCATGTTCTGGGCTATAAAATGTGAGAAATTTAGGCTTTATAGTATTATTTGTAAAAATAGGCTGATTTGCTAAGATTGTGTCTGCATGAGAAAGCCCATTAAGAAATTTAGAATTGTTGTGATTTGTCACAGCCTGATTCATGACACATTTAACTGGTCTTCAGTTTTAGACTTGCATGTTTTCAGTATCTTCTTCACTGATAGTCTTGTTAAAATATGTGCATAAAAGCAGGTGCAACACTTGATTTGATAAAAGCAGCTTTTTATATGTATGACTTTTAAATGGCAACCTCTGCTAAAATGATACCAGCAAAGCTTTCTGTGGTGTTGATGCCTTTTTAACCTGAAAATTCCCCTCATGGACTTAAGCAAGCTGCAAGCCAGTATTAAGGGAATTTTAACTTGATCTATCACTAGGCTTTAACTCAGGAGTTTAAAATTAGAGATGGGTCTTTTGCTTCACTTGCAACATGTGTAGGTATTAGAGATAGTTTAAATTGTTTATGAGTGCTGGCAGGAGATGGCGTGTTCTAACAATGACTTTTGTCCTGAAGAGGAGGAGTTGAGGAGCCTTAGTTTAGTTTACAGAAGCATCAAGTGTACACGAGTTTGCTGTGGTGTTGAATTTAAAATACACTGGAATTCCAGTGACCTCAAAATAGAAGCCACTCTGTCATCTGCTGTGTGCCACTATTACTGGATGAGCGCACCAGGGATGTTCCCGTATCCTATAGACAGTTTTCCTTCTGTTCTGCCAGGGTTTGAGAAGAGTACAGGTAGAGAAATGAATGCTTTTCAGAGTTTGCAATTGTGCGCCTACTGCATGCAATGGTGAGTGCAAGTCAGGGGTCATTGTGTTGTTTTTAAATAACTGAGAAGGACAAGGTGATACTTGTACATCTCTAATACTTCTCCAAGTGAGGAGAGGTGGAGGTTAAGATTTGTATTTTTAACAGACTTGGTAAAATAATGCAATAAAGAAGTATAAATAATAAACGGAATATGCTTTCTGTTAAGGGACCAAGCTATTTGTAAGAATGTCAGTGTTGAGGGTTGACTTTGGTTCTTGGCTTGGCAAAAGAAAGCACTCAGCTTTATAGAACACAGAGCAGGGCTGTCCATTTCTACGTCAATGCCTCTTGCTATGAGCTCTGCTTTGACAGAGAGCTTTTAATTAGCATAATGTTAATTGTAATTAATATAAACAATGTCTGACCATGGCAGGGTTCAGTTAAAGCTGCTCTGGCAGCACTGACGCACAATTATGTTTCTCTTAGTTCTTGTTATGACTTCATTGAATCCTTAAGGCTGGAAAAGACCTCCAGGATCAAGCACAACCTTTGACCAAAGACCAGAGCACTGACTGCCATATTCAGTTGTTTCTCAAAACACTCCACCACTCCCTGGGCAGCCCATTCCAATGCTCAATTACCCTTTCAGTGAAAAAATTCTTCCTGATTTCCAACCTGAACATCCCCTGGCCCAACTTTAGACCATTTCCTCTCATCCTGCTGCTGGTTGTCTTGGGGAAGATACCAACCCTCACCTTTCTACAAGCTCCTTTCAGGCAGTTGTAGAGAGTGATAAGGTGCCCCCTGAGCCTTCTCTTCTCCAGGCTAAATAACCCCAGCCCCTTGAGCTTCTCGTCCTCTAGACCCTTCCCCAGGTCCATTGCCCTTCTCTGAATTCACTCTGTTGTGTTTCTTCCAAAAATCTGTCTTCAAAATGCTATTTTTAAGCTTGTTGCCTCTGGTTTAAATTGCTATGGTAAAGTGAGTATTTGGGAACATTTTTTAGTAGCCAGCTGCCAGATAATGCAGGATGTCAAAAGTGTTCTTCAGCTACTTAGCTTTTAGAAGTCAATAGACTGCTTTTTTTGGGAAATAGATGAACTTTACTTTTCTTAGGAAAGCAGCAAAAAGCTGTCACAAACCTTGCTATAAACAGTGGGAGAGGTATGTGTACACAGCCAAGTTATGATTTCCAAAAAAAACCCTTGTGGAATGATTTGTAAACATTTTTAAGAGGAACTCAGGACATGTAGAATTTTACTTTGAAATAAACAGAAGTTAATAGAATCAGAAAAATGTAATTCCTAATTGTGAGCAACTTCTGCATTGTCTCCAAATTATAAACAGAAAGTGTGTATGCAAGGAAGTTGACTTTATGGCATGGGAGAGGTGGAACAAAATGCAAGTTAGGCCAGGGGTAAGAGGAGAACTGGAACCAGCTGGGCATATTTACTGCTCTTTTGTTTGTTATAGCTACCTCATTCTGTTATTAATAGTTTTCAAGGTATCTGGTCTGATGTTTCCAGTGCCACAGATGTTGGGAGGAAACACGCAGCTGATGGGGGCCTGGACTTGTGCATAAGTTCCCCACAAAAGCAAACTGCAGAAAGCATCGTGCTGTGCTTCAAAGGGTGTGATCGGGATTGATTTTCTGAAGGTTGACATTAAGTGTTTGTAGATCCATAAGATAAGACAGAAAGTGAAACAGGATCCCAGCTGTTGCAGCTGGTCAGTGTATTCCTAGGGCCTGCATAACAAAAGCCACAAGGACTGGCAATTGAAGGAGCTGGAAGAATGGTTCAAAAGAAATTTAGAATTACAGAATTTCCCTTTAAGCAGTCATTACACTTTTTTCACTAAAAGCAACAACGACAATTTTACTTAATGGGGTATAGAGGTATGTGTCTCTGTAGAATAACTTCTATTTTACTGGTCTTTTGCTTCAGTGATATTTGAATTTTGTGATGGATACAGAAGTGTCTGGCATTGGCTGAAATGAATTATTTTTTTAGCTTTCTCAATTAGCTATTGGTTTTGATACAAAAGACAAAGTGTCTTTTGAGCTGATTATTAAAAAAAAGGCACTGAGAAAATTGATAAATGCCTCTTTGGTTTTCTTAATCCATGATTACAGAGTTGGTATTTACCATTATATTGCATCATTAGGTGGAACATGGAATAATGCTAAGGTGGAAAGAAAACTCTGCAGCTGTTGTTACATCTGATATTACTCACAATCTTTTTCAGTCAGTAATGATTAAGAAGCCTTTTTATGTTATGAAGGCTTGTTTAGCAGCTTGTGCCAGGCACAGGAGAGGATGTCAGAGGTGGTGTCTTTCAACATTTTGTGGACAAAATAAGCAGAGCTTGCCGGAAGTGATACTACTAGTAACTCTTCCCAAGCTGCTGTTATGGAACATGTTTGTGTTTCCACACCTTGCTTTAGAAGATAAGGTCAGTATCTTGCACATCAGCCCTCTTCTGGGATTAAAGTGGGAGAGTTAAGGACACAGGGAGCCAGGGCTCACTGGTGCAGTGTGTGAGCAGCTGCCTGCTCTGAGTGACAGACAATAAACAGGGCTTGTGTTAACAAACCAAACACGTGCAGGTGCTCCAGAATTCATGGTGCCATGGGGGATGGAGAGGACTCTTAGGATTACAGCAAGACTATATATATATATATATATATATCTATATCTATTTTTTTTTTTTTTTGAGATATTAAAAAAAAAACCAACTTGAGAAATGAGACCTGTGTACAGCTTAATGTGATGTGCTCTCCCAGGAACATATTTCTCATTTTAGGAAGCTGTACTAATATAGGAGTTTGTCATCTGTAGTTCTAGATGGATTTTGAGGCTGTAAAATTCACAAACACAACATAATAAAGGCCCAGCTCTTAATCAGTTCCTGTTGGTTTAAGTTTCTTGCATAAGATTCAGTCAATTGAATGCCCAGGAAAACCTACAGTTATTTGCTCATTAAATGTACTACTTAGTGGCCAGGGTTTTGTTATTTCCTTTATGGGCTGATATTTTAGCCCTGATGTACTGTAAGGAATAAAAAGTCAGGCTCCAGTAGTTCTAGCAGAGGACTTGTAGCAAGGCCTGCTTCATTCTGGGCTGCAGTGCAGATGTTACCATGGTGACTTCTTAAATACCAAAGTACTATGTGGGTGTGATGCCTATTGATTTTTTTACCTTTTTTTTGTTTTATGTATTCTCTGCATTCTTTCCACTATATTTGTAACTCTGTAATCTATATATTTTAAATTTTTTTTCCCTGGGACTCCCAAATTCTATTCAGGACCCCCCAAAATCCATCCAAAATCCCTTCAGGACTTCCTGACCCCCTCATGTGGTCACCAATTGTTGCACTGTTGTGATGAGGGTCCCCAGGACGAGGCAAGAGATGAGAATTGACTCCGAGTTCTCAGATTTATTACATTATGATATTAAAAAGAAAAGATAGACTAAAACTATACTAAAGAAAGAGAGAGGAGATATCAGAAGGCTGGACAAGAATGATAATAAAAACTTGTGACTGATCAGAGAGTCTGACGCAGCTGGACTGGGATTGGTCATTAAGTAAAAACAATTCATATGGAACCAATCAAAGATGCACCTTTTGGTAAACAACCTCCAAACCACATTCCAAGCAATCAGATAATTATTGCTTACATTTTGTTTCTGAGGCTTCTCAGTTTCTTGGGAGAAAAATCCTGGCGAAGGGATTTTTCATACAATATCATGGTGACACCCTTAATCCCTCCAAGATGCTCCAACCACAAATTCTAATATTTCTAAAAATTTGGCAAAGTAACACTGGGGGGGAATCCTTGGGTATTTGGGGGTCACAGGATGGGATTTAGGGATGACAGTGATGTCGGGGGAACGGGGATCCCATTTTTGTTCCCCTTGACCTTGACAAACTTGTCTGTGCAGGAGAAATAGTTCTGGTTGGCCTCAGCCACTTTCTTCCAAGCTGCCTGTAGGTTCACAATCTCCAACATCTGCAGGGGGGTGAAGGCCATGCTTGAGGCCATGCCTTCATGTGGTCTTTGATCAAAGGTGGTGCTTGATCCTGGAGGTCTTTTCCAGCCTTAAGGATTCAATGAAGTCACAACATGAACTATGAGAAACAGAAATCCGGATTGTGGATTCTCCCCTGTGGATGACCCTCTGCTTTTGCAGGGTCCTCTGCAGGGCTTTCCTGATCTGGGCCTTGGCGGCCTCATGGACCAGGGTCTGGCACATGTGGCCACTGCTGGCCTTGCCTAGGTGGCCCAGGCTGAACCTGAGCTCCTCCTGGTAGATGTCCTCCTCCATCTCCCTAGAGCTCATCCTGTTGGCCTGTTTGTGGATCTCTGTCAGCCCCAAGCGTTCCTTCAACTTCCACTACCATTGGCCCTTCCCCTCTCCCTCAGCCCATCCAGTGGCGCTGCCAGTGGGTTCACAGGGATGGGCTCCTGCCACTTGTCCAACTTGTGCTCCATCCCCTCCCTCAGCTCATAGCCTACCTTCCTGTCCTGATCTCATGGCAGCTGTCCCCCTGGCTGCCAGTGTGCATGTGTCTACTGTGAGCCATGCCTCTTTCCTCCTCAAATCCAGTGGCAGGGCCCAGGTGATGTCGCTGTGGTGGGTGAAGCTGGTGTGGGGCAGGACAGAGGTGGAGGAGAAGCTCCTAGTGGGAGGATGTTGCAGCTTGGACAGCAGGGTCAGGCCCCCTGCCACCCCCTGGTCTTGGCAGCCATGGAGGCCCGAGGATGAGAGAGAGGTTGGGAGTGATGAAGGGCCCATAAGACTCCACATACTTGTAGATGCACAGTTTGGCCCGGCTCAGAGCCAGCGCTATGTCACACATACCCTCAATCCTGCCCAGCTCCTCCACTGACAGCTGCTGCCCCCCTTGCCAGCATACTGACCACCATGATGGTGGTGTTGGTCAAGATCTGCTGCATGTTCTCATTCTTGCATTTATCTAGGGAATTCTCCAATTCCTTGATGGTCAAATGTAATCCAGGGTGTTGGGCACCAGCAACTCCAGGGAATGTCTGGAATATTTTCCTGGGCTACGTGTGGATGAAATGATTTCTGATGCCAGAAAAAGTAATGCCTTGATTCTCTAAGACTAAAAATATTGTTGAAGGGCTTTTGGTTTTCTTGCAGTTTTGGTGACACTAGGAAAGTACAACCCTCCTGAACAGCCTACCACATGTTCCCTCCTTGAACTTGTTACTTTACCCCAAAGTTCAGGCTTGTGTAGACCCTTGTCTGTTTTTCTTGTCTGAACCTGGAGCCAAGGTCTCTGGGCTTGGCAACAAATCTGCTGCCCAAAGTTAGTAGAGACTTTAAGACTCTCTTCAAAGATGTTAATGCCTGTACCTTCACCCATCAAATTGTTTGTGAAGACATTAGCTTTCCTCTCACTTCTGACTGCATCACCCCTTGTGCTCCTAATTGGTGGTTTTTTACAATTATGCTAATTTACTAAACTTGTAAACTGTGTGTGCCCCTGTGAGTGGTGGACTTCTGTGGACATTTCTCCATAACTGCTTCTGGAGGCCTCCAATGAAGACCAGCTTCCATATTACCTCCAACACTAACATACCTTGAAGTGTGTGTTGTTTCATTTCTTGGTTGTAGAAGGCATCAGGTGCAGAAAATTTCCCAAGAGACATCTGGGAGACACTTGGTTCTGTCCATTTGAGATACAGGCTCTGAGATGTATGACAGCTGGGCACCTTACTCAAAGCTGGTGGAATTAGGAACTAAATGAGCTTTTAGAAACTTAATTCATTAATAACACATTTTCTGAGTAGTTAATGCAAGTGAATTGACTAGTATGTGTAAGGGTGGTATGACTGGCCCTTAACTAAAATAGCCATGGGGAAAGGCAGTATTTATAGCCATGATCTGAGGGTTTCATTGTCCAATTGCCTCTGTATCCCAAATTATTCCTTGAAGACCTTCTGAAGACAGCTGTTGAGGGAAGGATGAATGTTTCCAGAGCTGTGCTATGCAAGAGATTCATAAGCTGCCTCAGCTGACTTCCAGTTAGTTCTCACTGTGGTCTCAAGCAGACTTGGCACAGGATATGGGTGGCTGATGGGAAAAGGCAGCACATCTGTCTGCTGCTGACTTTAACCCTTGAAGCTGCTTGTTTTTGGTGGAATATGAGACCCCTGGCACATCAAATCTGTGTTTGCTTTCCCAGAACACAGGGAAGCTGGCTCCCTGGCAATTGTTACGGTTTCATTAACATCTGAGATTTTTATGGGGCAGAACATTTGTGCTGTTTTTGCTGCCACTTGATATCCTGGTGATGGGACTGAAAAAAAAACTTGATCTGTTTGTGTGTACACATGTCCTGTCCTAAATGGGGATTGCAAGGATTATTTCCTTCAATATGGAAACTGGCCCCTAAGAAACACCTATCAAAAGGAGCACTGCTGTAAATGCTCTCTCAAATGCTCCACCTGTGCAGCTCTCTGGGGGTTCTCTCTAAAACAGGTAGAGCTGGTGTTGGAATAACACCCAGGCTCCTCCCTGGTCCTTCAAGAGGATTTACTGTAGTCTGCCCCTAAACAGAGGTCAGACCAAGTGAAATCCACAAAAGGAGTATTAATGATACCTGCCAGGACAGAGCAGAAGAAAAGAACAGAGGAGTCAAAAGGGCACAAAATGCCCTCACATGAACTTGTCAGGCCCATGAATGAAACAGCTCAGCCTCCTGACACTTCTCTGCCCAAGTGTAATGTTTTCAGTTGTTCCAGCTTCCTGGAATAGCTGCACGACAGAGTGACCATAGAGATGACCTCTGTCTGGATTCCCAGAGGGCCCATAAAAAATGCAGACCTAGTGGGACATGGTTTATAGGACTTTTGGCTGGTGAGCTCATCAGGTGAAGAGCTAGAGGATTGGAGGTGCCTGCCACCCACTGTTTGCTGGTCATTCTTCCACCCTTCAACTTCTGCCTGAAGACTTCCACATCAGATGTGATGGGAGCACTCTAAAGCTCAGAGATTTTTTTTTTTGGCTGTGCTAATGCAAAGTTGCTTGAGCACTGTATGCTGCGTATTGAAAACTGCTGTATACCAATTCAGGGACTTGTTTTTTATATTGAGTTTCAGATCTCTTTGCTTGTAAGGAATACAAATTCTGAAACAAGGAATATAAACTGATGCATAGTGTCTTTTTACTGTAGGTAAGAGCAGGTTGTAGAAGGGAAGGGGAATTAAGGTTAGGGTATTTCAGGTTACATAACCAGCTCTAGGTTAATTTCTTATGCATGTTTTGGCAAAAAAAAAAAAATCAAGCATTGCTGCTCCTTTTGTTAATTAGTATCTGAGTTCTCTATACCAGTTATGTGTACATTATTTCAAGTGTAAGTTCACAGATAGGGTTGGTTTGCGTTCATTCTCATGCTTGCTCTGTGTCATAATTTTCCTACAGCTATAGGAATGAACTTGTTTGAACATTCCTAGTTGAGTGTAAAAAAATATTTTCCCATGAGTATCATCTTTTTGGCAAACACTTATGTGAAAAGGAACTGATGTGGAGACTGTTCTATGTGCTTGGGAAGATTTTACTTTGAGATCCCTTCATAATGCAGGAAAAAAAAAATCAGGATCAGTTGTGACACAAAAGGTCTGTGGAAATAGACACTTCACCCAGCTATCTGGGTTACTGATAATCAGCACTATATTTTCCTAGATTCTTGGGAGTGAAGCTATAGTTAAGGGCCATCTTTTTCAACAATATCTGAGGAAATCTCATGACCTAATTGAACAACCAGGATGTGCTTCTTGGTTTTGCATGGGCCAATCACATCTTGTTTTGTGATGATTAAGTAACAGGGAAAATTTGGTGCCGGTTTCTTGGGATGGAAAGAGTTCTACCAGGTTCAATTGTTACATGCTAATTTTACTAATGTAAACACTGTCTTAATGACAGTGTCACTGTGTGATACTTACTGTGACTGTAGCTGAACTCTGGAGTGCTTCTGGTTTTGGTGTGTCAGGTACATAATTCTGAGGGAAAGCTGCATTTTCTCTGGGATCCTGACTGCAGTTTCCCCCGCTTTATTTTTGATCTGAGGTCTGTAGGAGGTCAGTGGGGGGATGATGGCTGGCAACAAATGAAAGTGTGCCAGCACAGAAAGCTGCAGTGCTGTAATGGAGCATCTGTTGCTGTGATGTGTGAATGCCTGGCATTCTGGGAGCTGGGACACAGATTGTTGCTAGCTCCTTCCCAAGGTTATTTCGGAAGTGCACAGAGCAGCTGCTGAGGTCTGGGGCAGGTTTAACTCTCTCATGGCTTCCAAGTGCATGCTGCATTAAAAATTAAGTACACATCAAGAAGCAGTTTTTCTCAGCATGAAATTTTTTTTTTCTTCTGTAACTTATGTTTGACCTCAACACTAAATCCCTTGGTCACCATCTGAATGAATTACATAGTGTGAGACATACAAAATCAGAAAATAGAAAACTGAATAAGTTTTGATGGGGTTCGGTGTGTTTTTGAAAGGAGATTGTTGAGCAGAACTGAGCAAAATAATGAGATGTTTATTGGGAGCTAACATTATAGCCATACCTTAACTGTTCTGGAAACAACCTGTAGGGTGCAAGGAGAAGCTTTTATTAGCCATCACTGTGCTATCCAACTAGATAACTGAGCATACAGCTTGCCATTCTTCCCACAAAATGCTTACTCCACAACTGCACACTGTCTGCTAATAAAATGTAGACTATAACATCTTTTTCCCTAACATTTGATCTGAACGTTTGGTAAACAGACTTGGTATAATGAAATATTAATAGGCAGGAGAAAGTATCATTCATATGGGAAACAAAGTGCCATTGCTATTTAATGGGCTGTTAGACCTGTCTTGTTCCTCTACAATTCAAATGTGATTGTAGGATTAGTTGTTGAAGCTACAATGTAAAGTCATGGAGACAGATTGAGTGAGTCAAATGAAATGCAAAAATGAATAGTGACAGAATTTTTCATGGCCTCTTAAGACTTTATCCTTAGCACCTTTGAAACTTGAAATTTCCTGTTTTAGTGGCATGTTTTTATTCAGGTAGAGAAAAATGGATGAGTGTGGTGAGTCACTATGGACACTTGCTGTGCTTAACAACGAAGTTGCTCATGGATATCCCCCCTTTGTTGCACTTTCAAATGGCTTGAGATGATCATTATGTCATAAAAAATCTAGAGAGATGAGCAAATCAAGGTGTCTAGGTGTATACAGAACCCAAGAGTCACTGCATAAAAGAGGTGAGGCAATCTTTCAGCACTTGTGTGCTGGGTGCTTTTATTAGTTGCTTACTACACAGCATTTTCTGCTGCCCAGTTTGCTTGGAGGCACAATTGCAATATGCCATCTAATCTACAAAAGGCTGTTCATGCTGCTCATTCTTTAATGTTGAATATGATCTTATTAGCAATGTGATTTTTTTTTTAAATCCTTAGCTAGGTTTCCTGTCTTCTGATAGTATCTGTCTGAACTGTTGTTTGAAGGAAGGGAAGGCATCTTGGCTGCTAATTACAGTAACCAAAACTGATTTTCCCTGTAGGTGTTACATAAACACAACGCTGACCACAGCAGAGCTCAGTTTCCCCATGACCTGTTCCTGTATCTGATGGAAGTTCTTACATCCCACTGCTCTCCATTTCCCTGGTGTCTCCATTGAGATCTGTGCTGACTGATAAGCATGAGAATAGTGTGGTGCTGCAAATACTTTTGCAGTAGAACTGTTTATTTTTCACTTTTTCTGTGTCTAGGAGAGAGAGTTCCTTTCAGACAGTATATAGGAACATCATATGTTCATTTTATGCCAAGGGTTTATTCTTGCCTAGGTACTCTTGTTTGACTTGAGACACGAGAACTGGATCCCCACATGAGGAATAAGTTGAAAGCATAAACCAAATTGTTCAGTCAGTGCAGGCTATGGTTTCTAAACCAAATTGAAACATGGTGGTGGTTCTCTGGTGGCTGATGGAGCTTTGTTCACTGCATTTAATTTTTTTTTTTTTAGTTTTTGTTTTTTGCTGCTTTAGGCTCTATTTCTCCCTGCTCTCCCTGTTTTGAAATCTTACAGATTGCCTGCAAGTGTTTTTCTATGAATAAATTGTAGGTTTTGGAAAAAGAAAAAAGATGAAGCATAGTTTGTTATTTTTCATCCTGCCTCTGCTGTAAGGGAAATATAAGCAAAATCCACATTTTCGGATCACACAGTAATTGTCAGCATGTGTTGTCCAGCACCTCCTACAATGAACAATTCTTTGTCCTTTCATTTTTTCTCAGGGAGTCTCAGGTCTACCTTGCCAGACTGAACACATTAGGTACATGTGTGAGGTGTGAACATTTTGTATTGATATTCTTCCACAAACTTGGAACTAAAAGAAATGCTGAGGCATTGACAAGTCTCAGAAGAAATTCCTGTGTTGACTTAATGCCATGCTCAGTGATACAAGAAATGTTCCCAGTGTACTTTCCATGAAATTGTGTACTGGATTTCTTTCTGTATGAACATGACAGAAAAGAGGTTTTGTTTGCTAAAGGTCAGAGTATAAAAAAAAGATGCACTGTTTTTGGGGGATTCTTCTTGCACATGTGCGCTTTTACTGGGTCAGATGTGGGTGGCCTGTGCCGATAAAATCAAATATCTGAGTA